ACAGGTGATTATTGGGTAAGATCTAAGTTATATATTGACTTAGGTATGTGGCTGGTTCTGTGGGAACAGAAGAACCCTTTGGTTAATTAAATTGGTTTTAAATAACCACTCATCATTAAGTCTAGTGGGTGTTGAATCCAGGACTGGAATACCTAAGGCGGCTGCATTTCTGACTTCTTGATAGCCACTGTGGTGAGACAGAAGTTGACTTTTGTTGCTGGTTTGGTATATCTTATGGAAGAATAACCACCAGTTTTGGGTATATCTGCCCTATTTCTGAATTTGGTACTCTCAGTTGTGACCCACTGAGGCACCGTGACAATGACTAAGGAGTTTGTGATAGTGAGGAAAAGACTGGGAAAGTACAATCAGACAAAATATTATCATAAAGGAACAAGATCTCTTCCACTGCTAAAAAATAATAGATTCACTGAGAATTTGGCAAGATGGACACTCCAGTGAATGCTCCAGGGATCAAAGAGGAGTCACCTTGCAAGCAAAGCTGCCTGAGCTAAGAAATGTGTTGGCTTCCAGTTGGAATCCTTTCCCCCTTGCTTCTGACAAGCATCTTTGTGAGTCCCTTTAATACCTTTGAGGATACAGCTGGCATCCCAGTAGCTTGGCTAAATATTTGGGTATTTGGTGGAGCTGCCATCATCTGATATGTCTCTAATGGATTTCTCTTGGGCAAAGAGTAGCCAGGGTGAGAGTTCTGCAGTTGACTGTGAACCCCAGACACTCCAGACTAGTGTTGAAAATAGGGGTTCAAAATAGATTTAGCAGAAGGGTTGAAAATAGATTTAGCAGCCTTTCTGCCTTGGCTGCACTTGAGATATTGTCTAAATACATTACTCTCCAAGACAGTAGCAACTGAAATAGTAGATGCCATGATTTAAAAAAAAACACCACTACCTTTGGGTGACACAAAGATCAAATGCCATGACCTACTCCAGGGAATCTGAAGTTGGTTGTTCATAGAATCATAGAAGATAAGGGTTGGAAGAGACCTCAGGAGGTTCTAGTCCAACTCCCTGCTCAAAGCAGGACCAACCCCAACTAAATCATTTCAGCCAGGGCTTTGTCAAGCCAGGTGTGACACATGGCTAGAAAGGGTTAAACATCCTGCAAAATAAATAACCCTCAAAGGACATGTGGGGAGATAATGTTTGTGTTTTTGTGTATTTACATATGTGTTAGTAGGGTCAACAGTGTAATTAACAGTCCCTGTCTATGCTGTATTCCGATAATTCAAAGGTCAAAAGAACATCCTAGCATTTAAATTAATTGTAAACACAGAATATCTCAGTATTCATCTGTCTTTTAAATGTACTGTGAATGGTGGAGGAACAAACAAATGCCCTTTTAATTCTATAGTTAAGTACCGGTGATGGACCTCCTTCAAAGTCATCCTAATTACCTTTTGAACTCCTAACTATCAAAAAACATGAAATTGTATAAAAGATCCTTGGATTCTGATTCTGTCATCTCAGATCTGCTTAGGCTTCATCTGGGGAAGTTTGAGTCGCAAGATGGAAGTCCCAGTTATGCTAATAGGTTATAGTCCAATGTCCAAATATCATATGAACTATTTCTGAAAGAACTCTTTACAACTACAAAGCTCACCATCTCTGCTATGAATCTGCACCTCAATGAACTGAACTCATGTCTGTATGTATATTGATCTTTTAAACCATACTCTCTCTCTTGTTTTTTAATACATTTTAGTTTAGTTAGTAAGAATTGGCTGTAGCATGTATTTGGGTAAGATCTGGAATATTCAATAACCTGGGAGGTAATGTGTCCAAACCTTTGGGATTGATAGAATCTTTTCTTTTATATGACGAAATAAGATTTACAGAAATTTTCATCATATTTGATGTGGGTACCTGGATGGAGGCCTGAGGCTGGATCACTTTAAGGGAACTGTGTTGTTTGGACTTCTGAGTAACCAGTAAGGTAATAAATAAGCTGTTTTGTGCTTGCTGGGTAAATCTAAGTATTGGTATATCTACCATCTTTATGGGGATTGTCTGCCCCATTCTTTGGGATTCACTCTAACTGAGTGACCATAGCTGGCTTCCCACTAGGACCCCGGTCACACCGGGCCTTAAAAACCTCTAAGGAAGGAGATTCCACCACCTCCCTAGGTAACCCATTCCAGTGCTTCACCACCCTCCCAGTGAAATAGTTTTTCTTAATATCCAACCTAGACCTCCCCCACTGCAACTTGAGACCATTGCTCCTTGTTCTGTCATCTGCCACCACTGAGAACAGCCGAGCTCCATCCTCTTTGGAACCCCCCTTCAAGTAGTTGAAGGCAGCTATCAAATCTCCCTTTCACTCTTCTCTTCTGCAGACTAAATAAGACCAGTTCCCTCAGCCTCTCCTCGTAAGTCAAGTGCCCCATCCCCCTAATCATTTTCGTTGCCCTCCGCTGGACTTTCTCCAATTTGTCCACATCCTTTCTGTAGTGGGGGGCCCAAAACTGGCCATAATACTCCAGATGTGGCCTCACCAGTGTCGAATAGAGGGGAATAATCACTTCCCTTGATCTGCTGGCAATGCTCCTACTAATGCAGCCCAATATCCCATTAGCCTTCTTGGCAACAAGGGCACACTGTTGACTCATATCCAGCTTCTCGCCCACTGTAATTCTCAGGTCCTTTCTGCAGAACTGCCACTTAGCCAGTCAATCCCCAGCCTGTAGCAGTGAATGGGATTCTTCCATCCTAAGTGCAGGGCTCTGCACTTGTCCTTGTTGAACCTCATCAGATTCCTGCCAATGCCGTGGGAGTGGGGAGGAGCCCTGCACTGGGATCGGACAGGAATGGTAACCAAGCAGGACATTTCAGGGTCTGGAATTAGAGCCTTCTAGAATCCTTTTGTGAGGTTGTGGGTAACCATCAACCATAGATTTAAATACTTACTTTCTGACTTACTGACTTAGCGCCTTACTGAGGAGGCTGGAGTTCTCCAACATGGGGAAATCCATTTGTTTTTACAGCTTTATTTATCCCTACAGCTGTAGATTTAAACTCATTCAAGTACAATAAAAGACTTGTGTCAGGATATACCATATAACAGTAACCACTGACATCAGTGGATGCTGATCCTCTGTCATTTGATTGGGGGTAATGAGCTTTAGAATCCTAACCCAAATCATGTCATATGACTTGGAATATAAAATAGTTTTTCTTCCTTGGTAGCACCTTGCCTGTGTGTCAGAGCCTTATTATTGAAGTGACCATATGTCCTGGTTTTACTCAGACACTCCCAGTATTTTATATGATGTGCTGATGCCCCAGGAACTTTGTTCAGGTTACCAGATAAGTCTCTGTTTTTCATTTTATCTGTCAAAATGGTAAGGTTTCTTTATTATAACTACAAAGTATTTGTTCAAAACATATTGCTACACTAGATAGAACTTGCTCTCTGTATTTATCAGGATCTGACAGACCAGGGGAATTAGTGTTCAGTTTGATGATCAGTGTATGAAATTTAGACAAAAGTCAAATGAGTGTAGAAAAAAAAAAAAAGGCTGTTCTTTTGCTCAAAGTGCATGTTAGTGACACTTGTTTGGTGTTTCATGGTAAACTGATTTAGAATGCTAAATACCTGGGAAAAATCTTCTGCTCCAAGAAATACACATGTCACTGAGCCAGAAGGTGGCAAAAAAAAAAAAAGAAAAAAAATTGCAGGAAATATTTACTTTTTTCCCAAAAAATTTTCTGTTAATTATTTTACTTTCATTTTTTATCAAAAACTAAAAAAACTTCTTCAAAAACTTTTTGTTATTAAAATGTTTCACTTTTGAAAACCTGAATATTGAAAATTTTTACCAAAATAAATTTGGTTTTCGGGTTATCACAAAATACCAGGAAAAAAAATTCTAAAATGAATTTTCTGTGGTTTTCATTTTGGTTGAAAGCGTTTTTATTTAAATGTTTTTGTGAAAAAAATTTCAATTTCAACCAGCTACATTAGCATTACCAGCACACTTTGTGTATGTGTGCATGTGTGCACTTCATCTTTTGTATCACTATTTCTTGCTAAGAAAGGGTTGCATGTAAGTATCCTGTTCTTGTTTTTCATTTTGAAAATATGGTCAACTTATACACTTTCATACAATTTGGGAGGAGGAGGATTCTTTTTAAATAAGATCTTTTGAACGTTCACATAAAACTGTAGTGAGTGGGCCAGAAAATGCTACTGCTGTCACACAACATCTGCATAAACCTATATGAAAATTAGACTTGGGAAAGAGTTGCTGGGATTTGATTTGCACATAGTTATAGCTGTCTTTAAAAAGGTGTATTTATGGAATGCTATGAAAAATCAGTTTTATAGTTTGGGAAATGTGGGCATGTTTTTGTATTGCATTTTGTGTTGTAAAAATGTAGGTCACATACCACAAAATTTAAGGCCTGCTCTATAAGCTCTTCAGTAAGTTCAGCCAAATGTTCTGTGCTCTCCAGTTGTTGCTAAGAAGCAAAAACTTTTGGAATCAAGAAACACTTTAGCCTTGTCCAAATAAGTAAAAATAGACTAGGTGCCATCAAAAATAACGGACAATTCTGAAAGATAAAACACAACCACAGACAGTATTTGACAATTCAGGTTTCAACATAAACAGATTCAAGCCACTCAGCTAGGGAGGCATGTAACACATATGAGAAGGGGTAGCAATGGTTCCTTGAATAAAGAGCTATTTTTCTTCTCTACACCATCATCAAAATGGGTTTCTTGTCAGCCAAAAAGAAGAACGAAGCAATGAGGAGGTGGCAGAGAGTGAGGGACTGACCATTTTCAAAGCTCACTGTTATATCCAGCAAAGTGGAGATAGCTACCCCAGTTTGTGTTTGTAAGTTTGTTCCTAGATGGGTCCTGTATCTTGGAGTTCCTACAATTCCCAGGAGACACCAGAGGAGGAGAAGAATGAGAGAGAGAGAAGGGAAGGAAGAATGTGAGCGCTGTGAAAGCGTGAAGGGAATAAACCTTACCTTTGCTGTTATCAAGCTTTCTGAGTTTTCCTCAAAGGGGTTCAGGTACAAAACAAACTGGCAATGAGCATAAGACAATCAGAGAAATAGAACTCTAATTTAGCCAAGCGCCTCATGATTCCTGCTACTGCTATCTGCTGTTGCTGCTCCCAGGGAAACTCCACAGGCCTAAAGCCTGCTGTTCTCTGAAACTATAGCTTGCTGAGAAGAGAAATTTAAAGGGGCAATGCCCCTTTTGTCATAGTGCTTCTATTTCCCAGCTGCTAGGTACCTCTGCAGTCCTGAGTTCCCCAGCTTGCTTCCTCACTTATTACCATGACACAAGTTCTGCCTCCACCGTTCCTCATACTTACCCCACGAGATCCTCCACTCCCCTGGGAGCAATGGAAGTTTTACTTCAGCAACTATATGCTTGCTATAGAAACTTCTACTTACACTCCAGACAAGCTGAAAGTCTTACTGCTTCATTGCCTTGGTCCTGAAGGGCAATGAATCTTCAAGCATCTCCTGTTACCAACTTTCCACAAGATGCGACTTCATAGGATGCTCATTTTAATCCTCTACTAAATGTTGTTGCCGAATGCTTCAGGTTCTGTTTCCATGTACAGATGCCTCATGAGCCCATTGACCATTACATAGCTGCATTCTATGAGCTGAGAAGTGCAACCTGTGAATTTGCCATTTTCAAAGCTCACTCAGATGCCATTTCTCAGATGAAATGATCAGGGATCAAATTGTCATGAAGACGACCAGTTCCAAGATGTGCAAATGACATCTCATGATAAAAGTCCTTACCTAAAAGAAAACTGCAGAAACTGCTCGATGAGTGGAAAGCGCCATCTACTGTGCTAAGTCACTTTGCACAACACCAGATGTTTTCCAGCCTGCAGAGGTTAATGCAGTCCAATAAAAGTCTGCTACCTGCAAAACTCCTAAGTCTACATCCACAGTGCCTTTATCCTTCCACACACCACATTGCTACCAATGCTACAGATGCAATAACCTTGGTCACAAGGTAGACTTTCAAGGGTGAGTGCCAAGAAATCAGTAAACAAGAAGTGCTGCAACAAAAAAGCACATTTTGCTAAAGTCTGTAAGTCTGCCGTCATTGTTGTGTCTGGAGTTCTCACAGATAAGGATGATGGCAAACTGAATGTGACAGGAGATCACCACACCACGGCACACTGCCAAGAGCAAGACAACTGCCATGAGATGAGCATATCAGTGAGTTCTTGTTCACCTTACACTATAATTCTCTACCAGCTCTATGCAGTGCTATATGCCAGCTCCCAAAGTGAGTTGCATCCTCCAGACATATGCCCTGGAGGGTATAGTAGATCTCCCATCCCCATCAATGGCTATTTTATAGATACCCTTGAGTACAAAGGCCGAAACGCCCAAAGGAAAATATTTGTGCCCAAAAGGGAGTTTCTGTGGCATATTGGGAGAACTTCTTGGTTCTTGCCAGGAGGTACCTCTGCCCTCCCAGCAGGAAGTTTCAACACTGACTGAAACTCGGAGCACAAGGCAAGAAGAGAGGAGGCTGCTGGACTGTAATGCAGTTCTGTTTCCCCTTACAAAATAAATCTTTGTTCCTGGTGGTTTGTCTGGTCTGAGCTGAATACACACTGACACACAATGCAGAGCACATAAAGGGGCCTCAGGCCCAGTTTCCTAAAGTTGTGTAAAAAGCCACATGACAGACTTACCTTATCTTGAACCTTAGGCGCCAACTCCGTGGGTGCTCCAGGGCTAGAGCACCCATGGGGGGGAAATGGTGGGTGCTCGGAAGCCCTCCTTTCAGCACCTCCCCCTCGCCCCCAGGGCCTCCTGCCTTCCCGTGGGCCCCTCCAATCACTGCTTCCCCCTCCTACCCACCGCAATCAGCTGTTTTGTGGCATGCAGGAGGCTGGGGAGGGGGAGTGGAGGAGTGAGGACACGGCATGCTTGGGGGGGAGGGGATGGAGTGGGGGTGGAAAGACATGGAGTGGGAGTGTGGCCTTGAGGGAGGGGGTGGAGTGGGGGTGGAGCCTGGCAGATCCGGGGGTCGAGCACCCCCCAGCACAGGAAAGTCAGCGCCTGTGTCTTGAACAACCTCATACTGGGCCAGCCAACAATGGGAGGAGTTACACAATGAAACAATTCATGGACATGTTAAGAACAGGCAGGATGTAGATCTTAAGAAAAGTGCTGAACCTGAATAAGATTCAAATTGGAGATTTTGTTTGTGTAACGCTGCCATATACAGTCAAAAAAGGACATTCAAGATATTCATGTCCTTTGCAAATAACAGAAATCTTAGGAGATGTATTAATAGATGGAAAGAAATGGAACACTTCAAGATTGTCTGCAACTCATCAGCCAGCAGCTGAAGAAGAGAATGCTGATTTTCGCCTTGGACCAGAGAACATCGGTGACACCGATAGTGATGATAGACCATCTATAGCTGTAGGAATTGCTCCACCACCTACTCTTGTTCCTGACTCATCAGGTATTGGGAGAAGTGTCAGACAAAGGAGACTGCCTAAAAAGATTGGAAGATTTTTTTACTGGACTCAAGTGACAGACTGGGAGGTGACTGTTTAAAGTTTTATAATGATTATTCTCAAGGGGAAGTGTGTGTTTTAGCTAGCGAGGTGCATATAGCTACCCCAGTTTGTGTTTGTAATAAGTTTGTTCCTAGATGATTCCTGTAGCTTTAAGTCCAGGAACTACAATTCCCAGGATGCACCAGTGGAGGAGGCAGAGAGGAAAAAAAGGAGAAGGAAAGGAAGAATGTGAGCTGTGTGAGCCAGTGAAGGAAATAAACTGTACCTTTGGTGTTATCAAGCTTCCCACCAAGTCTTCCTCAAAGGAGTTCAGGTACAAAAATCACTTCACATATCTGTATAATGGTGTGGAATCCAAGATACCCTGTCCACATAGTCAGCTGGGTCAAACAATGCCCAGTGTATGTTCTAAAAGTACAGGAACACTTCCAATTGCATCAGCCCTCTCAGACACATTAACACATACCCAATATCTAATGATACTGGGTCCCTAGAAGAGTTCTCCAACATTTCTTGCGCCAACCTCTGGATCTAGTGAAAGTAGTATGATTCTGCGGTGGATGTGGAGGGAGCACACACCCTGCTTGCTGGTAAGTCTGGCTCCAGTACAGCTCCTTTCATGCCATTTCAGAGTGGGTGGGAGTACCTTCCTATCCTAAGGTTTTTGGCTTGAGACTCAAATTTCAGGGAAGATTTCTCAGACCCTCAGAACTTCCTCCTAGATTTCAAGCTTTTTCTGGTGACATGACTTGGAAGTTGCAAGTGCCAGAGCTGTAAATAATGCAGCCATAGTAGTGACATTGATAACACAGTTGTGGGAGTAGGCAATTTCTCAGGAAGTACCCATTTTCCCAATCTGCACGCACCAACTCCCCATTTCCTTCTTTCTGATAGTAACCGTGCACTAATGTTCCTCATTGTCAACGAACCCTTTCAGATACAAATTTCTTTTCTAAAACTCTTGCTGCTATACCCCACTATACAGGCCTGTTAGCTGCACCATTGTAGGGCTAATAAGTTCTTATATAGTAAACTCTTTATGGTAAGGATCATTCTTCCTTGGTACAGCACCCAGCACAAGGAATCCCTGCCCTTTGTTATGGTCTCTGGACACTACTGCAATATAAATATTAAATTACAATTAATAATAATTGACTAAATAAGGCATTTTAATTGTTGCACCATCTAAAGATTTCACATTTCTCTATTCCTATGATGTAACAGTGCTGAAGAGCAAGATATATGTCTTTATGGAGCATAGATACCAAATGCCATTGTTGTGCATGTAACTATGATGCCTATTTTGTGTACTGCACCTTGAAATTTCTATGAAGCAGCCATTTTGTTGTCAAAATTGTTGCAACTTCTACAGAGTAGAGACACACACATGCACACCATACTCTCTTGTGGAGTCTTTCCTTTTATTCTTAATTGTTGTTTTTCTTAATCTAAAATAAAAGCTAATTAGACCAACAGTATATGTCTACTCCTTGTGTTTGAGGAAAGCTCATCAGTGCACAAAGTAAAAGTAATCTCAGATAGCCTAGACATCAGCTGTTACAGTGCATTAGCAGACAAACACCATACCCCATGATGCCTCCTACTCTAGAATAATCCCTTTGGGTCCCAGATCATGTAGGATCTGCAGGTGAACTTCAGCTTGGTGAAAAGGTTGAGCCTCCAGTATTGCTAATTCCAAATGTTCCAAAAAATCATAAGTAAGGCCCTAAAGAAACATGAGATATATTCCCATGATTAAGCCTATAACCCTAAATAATTAGGTTCTCCCTTATTTGTCTTTAGTTTTTTGAGCCTTTAGGGTGCGCTTTGATCACATTTTCAAGCTTTTCTTAGCAGCCTGAGGGCAAGAAGCATCCTTTCTTTTTAGATGAGTGCTAAGGTTCTCACGTAATCACAGGACCTCAGGAGCTGGAACTTCAAAAAAAGCATAAAATATTGTGGGACTCCTGATAAAATTGCAAAAGTTGGCAATACTGTGCCTCACTTTGACTGCTTCCCCATGAATGTGTGAGAAGAAGCCTAAAAATGAATTTGATTTACAAAAAGCTTTGAATTTTTGCTTTCTTAGGTGTTATTCGTAACAAAAGTAAAATTGAAAATATCTTGTCAATGTTGATACTGCCTCTTTAAATGATATAACTGTATGCATGGTGTAGATTACACAATCCTTTATATTCTATTACTGGTATGAACTATGTACTGTAATTACACTTTCGGCCCTAACATTTTCAAGAGCTAATGAAAGGAATTTTATAATCATGCCAATGGGGACAACGCTCTAGTTACTATGTAACTGAGACATTTGGTCTTTATAGAAGTGACAAGGGTATTATTTCCTAGTTAGTTCCTTAGAAAACTGAAATTATTTACAAGAGTGGCATTTGATATATTGTATTTGCTAACACTGCATTTCACTGTTATAGCCATGGAAATCAAGAATTTTTAATAACCTAGACTTTACAATTTTACAATGTTTGATTCTTGATGAAGTCTCCTTTTCTTATTGTGAACAATAATGTGTGCAGGGAATTTACTTTGTACCTGTGAAGTGTATTTTATTATATTGAAATTAAATTGATTTAGCCATTGTAGTGGCTTCAAGTGTTTCCTCCCTGTCAGCATAAGAAGCCACTCCGCCTCACGACACCACCTAGTGGCTGAGAGCCGATCAAAGGGGGATTAGTGTG